TCCACAAAAGGTTAGGAAAAATACTTACCTCAATCTGGCCAATTCAATACTCAATTTAGCTTTTTCCTTTATCAATTCATCAATGCTCGGCTCAATCTAACCAAAAAAGACTTGAATATATTAAACAATATAATAGAAAATAATTTCAATTTAAAAAACTATGATTGTTATATAATTTGCAAAAAGTTAACAAAAGTCAACTTCCCGAGCCTGCACCTTGGAACCCGACAAAATTTACAAAACTAAATGCTCATTGTGATACGAGTTCACCCATATGAAAATTATCTAATTCCGGCACCATTTGGTCTCTCAAATCATCATTTTATATTTTTGAAAGATTTCATACTTTCCCCCAAATTTTCCTTTAGATTCTCATGAATTTGATGTTAAATCTAAGATATAATCACAAAATATAGTTGGAAATTGATTAGAGACAGTTACCCAACGGTTTGGTATGAAAATCTTCTCTCAAAATTGCCCACTCTCGGAGTTAGGGTTCAAAGAATATGAAAAATGAGCAAAAACTCGGAATACTCAGCTTTTAACAGGCTGTAGATGTCACATTTGCGACACTAGGTTCGCAAATGCGAGCCTGGAACAACACTGTCATCATCGCAAATGCGACGGGGAGTTTGCAAATGCGAACTCAATAGGACTCGCAAAGCGGCAAAATCCTTGCAAATGTGAGTCCTTTCCTCAGCAGCCCAGCTTCGCAAATGCGAGGCTGCTTCGCAAATGCGAGGCTGCTTCGCAAATGCGATGATACCAGAACCAGAACACACAAAGATTAACAAAACACTCCAAAGCTAATCCGAAACTCACCCGAGCCCTTGAGGCTCCAAAACAAACACTCCCACAGGTCTGAATACATAACCCAAACTTGCTTGCGCGATCGGAACACCAAAATAACCTCCAGAACCACGAATCGGATGCCAAAACGCACGAAAATCACTATGAACTTCAAGAACTTCTAGAACTGCAACCAAGCGTCCGAACCATATCAAATCAACTCCAAATGACACCAAATTTTGCAGGAAAGTCCCAAATGATATAACATAGTTGTTCCAACTTTTGGAATTGTATTCCGACCTCGATAACACAAAAGTCAAGTATGGGTCAAACCTCTCCATTTTCCAAACTTCAACTTTTTCCAACTTTCGCCGAAATGCCTCAAATTACCCTACGAGCCTCCAAATCCAAATCCGAATGTACGCCTAAGTCCAAAATCATCATCCGAAACTACTGACATCATCCAAAACTCATTCCGGGGCCGTTTACTCGAAAGTCAAATTCTGGTCAAATTCTCACCGCTTAAGCTTCCAAGACTAGATTCCTTCTTTCAATTCGACTTTGATTCATCCAGAAATAGAATCCAACCATGCATGAAAGTCAATACACATAATATAAAGCTGCTCGTGACATCAAACTGCCGAACCGAACGCAATTGCTCAAAATGACCAGTTGGGTCGTTACAAGGGCTCGCGTCGCATCAGGGAATATTTGAAGTGATTTGCCTGATCCATCTAGGGATAATACTATACTTCAATAATCGTATTTCATAGCATCCCAACGTGATTCATCTTATGGGGGTATTATAATCTCGTGCCCTCCATGAAATCCCTTTTTCTTAAAATCATTACTTAATCGAAGGCCTAAATATCATCCTCTTGTCTATCACTATTAAACCCTTATTGTGCCACCAGGGCAGAATTTCATCTCTTCTAATTTCTCCTAGTCTTAGAATCCCCTAAGTTCATTTAGACTGTACCGAGCTTTCTATAACATACGGAAACCATCAACTCTCTTGTTTTGATGGGTTTAATCCCGAGGACTTACCTATTCACGTCACCTTATCACTCGTTTTTTCTTATCCTTACTCCTATCTACCTAAAACCTTGTCGCTCTATGATATTTTATCTTGAGGCCTACACATGTCTTTTTATACTACTCACAACCTTCCTTTAACTTGATAGCAACATATATTTCATTTCGTGCCTTATGAGTTGTCTTTAAATGTAAGCAATTACTTTTCCTGGTCATTCTACCACTTATTGCATGAATACTTGGCTTATCTTATTGCCCACGAATACTGGAATTTCTTGTAACTCATATGATCTAAAGCATCACATTTGATTTTTTTCGTTCATTAGCCACGATAGGTGCCATTTTTTTATGGAGTGTATACAATATTATAGTGAGACTGTTGTTACAAGACCATTTCTTCTTCAAGTTACTATGCTTAGGTTGAAGCCTTCTTCCTTATTTTCTCATCTAGTCTTTTGTTATAGTACTTAGGGGAGACCCTCTGACTCTTGTAAAGCTACTAGCTTATTACATCATATACATGACAAGCTTACGAAATTACCCTATAATTATCCCTAGTCACGAGCCATTTCTCTAATCTCGTGCCATTCATCTTACGAGCTTACGAGCTTATAATCTCTTGTAAAGCTACGAGCACTAGACTTTTCTTGAATCAACTACTAACTACTCCTTGGTCCATTCTCATCTCTATATTCTGCGTAATCTCTTTTAGGATATGTCTTTATCTTAATTTTCCTCTCGTAATGGCTCATGATGTATCAAGTGTCCATTCGCACTTATTAATCATTAACATCCTAACCGGGAGCTCTTACCGCCTCTCTTCGGCGTCGTGTTTGCATGATGTTCTAGAGTTGCGACATATATGTAGGATCTGAATAAATGAAACCTCATCCCTTTTGTCTTTTACCACATTCTTCCTTTACTATTCCATAGTTAACTGAACTACTTAACTCCGACTTAATACCACATCACATCATCTCTCCCCCCTCCTCTTTAGGGAAATACTAAGATTTACTACTACAACGATCTACCTATAGATATTTTACCTCCTCATCTTTAGTATCTTTTCACATCATCAATGACCCTCACTCTCCTTACGGTAACCCTTCTGTACCAGGGATAACTGAATTCCTTATGCACAAGGGTGACACCTAGTGTATCTGGCACACTTAGTCCTTTAAGCTTAACTCTACTCACAGTGTTTGCTTTAGGGAAGCGTCTTCCTGAATGAACTTTAAAGATTATTCTTATTTTTCCATTCTATTATTTATGGAACGCGATCTCTGAAATTGTCATGATGTCGACTATTATCAAATCCTCCGATCCCTAATTCATGTTCGGTTTTATCTTGGTCACTACTGATTTCTTTTACTCCAGGGGTCTAACTTAGCCTTCTGGTGATCACGTTCGAGTCACCTACTTATTTCTCGAAATGAGAGTATGACTTTATGGCTTATACAGTTTTATTGTCTCAAGGTCTGTCACCTCTTGTCTTTTCCTTCACTTGACTATAGACTCTGTCGTTCTGTCATATTTTGATTTACCGTTATCACCCATTTATCACATCTTACTCATAATGCTTCATTTACTCTCTTCTTATTCTCCGGCTAATAGTTCTGTCTATCACTTTATTTTGAAAACTTCAACAAAATATTCTTTCACTTCTAGCTCCCATTGCTTCATCTCACTGGCTCTTCGTGATGCCTAACATTCTCTCTTTTTTTTACTAGGGGCGAGAGCCATATAAAGGTAAATATTTATCCCTTCTAGGATTTCAGTGCCAATCTTCTAAAAATTTTCTAGACATTCTAGTATTTCATATCTAAATGTACTATTCTAGAGTGCACCATTGAGGTGTCTCACAAGGAGAACTATTACCACGTTTGCAATATCCTTCAAAAATGTTAGCTAATGCTAACAATTCATCCTATCATTTTGGGTTACTCTAACCTTAGCTGGATCCTGATATCCCATCATTCTCTTAAACAATATCTATTAGCTCCCACAGGGCATGACTAAGATGGGAGTAGCCAATTGTACATACCTCTGTTACTGTTGAAGGTAACTCAGAATATTTATATTTCTCTGCTTGAATTGTAAAAACTGATAATCTTCACTAACTGGATACCTCGTACCCTTTTTTACCTTGCTTCTTTTACTTGTTGAAACTTGTATCTACCTTCTGATTCTCTTGTTGCTTTTTAAACCATAAGTAGATAGATATTCATGTCTTAGGGCTCCTTATCAAGAAGCTTACATGTCTTAGTACACACACAAAATCTATTGAAGACCTTATATTTACTCATCATAAGCTTGAAGCAAAATCGAGTTCCTCTAACTCAACTCTTCCACAGCCACATTCAATGTCTTACCAATTGTCTTTGTGGATGTATGTATCGTTGTATTACGAATAAAGTAGAATTTAGGAGTTTTAATTCTTACAACTGAGCTCTACCACATGATTTAGAATAAGAAGAAAGAGCAATAGTCTTAAATTCCCTATAGCCTCTTGTTTATAAGTGTGGTGGACAACACACCCGTAAACAAGACTCTACTAGACACGGCTTGTAGACTCCCTAAGATAGAACTGTTCTGACATCACTTTTGTCACAGCCCAAACTGCAGGGCCGCGACGGACACCCAATACTTTACTCTACCGAATACCAACGTAACATATTTTTCTTATCACCACGAATTGTAATTAAAAGGTATGGATACTACCTTCCAAGGCCGTTATAGCTAGTTTTCGATGTTGTTTAAGTACGTACTTTGATTTTAACAAGTTACCAACACACATTATTTTAATGTTATTAGATTCTCGATACATGAGTTGTATGTGTATGCCAAATCATGTAATACATGATTTGTAAAATAATATTAATATTATTAAAATTAAATTTCGATTAAGAAATTATACATAAAAGAAGAAATTGCAAAAAATTTGAATAATAAATGTGGATCGGCACAAGGTATTGTCCAGGTTAATATTTCACAAGAAAAATACAAAGTTGATGAACTTACAAGTTATATCAAACAAATTAATTTTTGGTTCTTCACTCAAATAACAGCAATTCAAGAATCTGAATTGATTTTTAGGTGATCTGATTTTACAGATACATTTTATGTATAATTTTTATTTTTTAAACTCATATATATTTACCAAAAACTAAGATAAATTCCATGAAGAGAGCTGATAGCATTAATGTATAATTTAAGAGGAAAAAAACAATTCCCAACAATAGTAGTAAAAATATTCCTCTAGGATTATCATAATTCATAGGCGGGGACATAGGTGCAACCTTGTCCTAGTGTGCATTGACACCACTTTCATCTACCGAAAATGGGATGTTTCTATTCTTAGACAACCTTGCCCAATGTATGCAAAATGCAACATACCCACGTGAAAAATATTAAGACCTAAAGCCAATATCTCCAATTTGAACCATATTCGTGGCCATGTTACTAGCTAGAAAAATTCAAAAGGCCCCTCCTCCACCTGACCACCACCGGAAGCCCGCCTCTCATGGTGGCCGTCAGCCCCGGATCAAACCGGAGATCACCGCCGGCCGCCACGGCCCGAACATCGAAGTGTTGTAACATAGAAGCCACTACACACTTCATTTCCATTAGTGCCATTTCCTTGCCTAAACACACCCTAACTCCACCTTGAAAAACAGGGTATTTAAAAGGACTTTCTCGCAAAAATGTACCATTTTTTAGCCAACGTTCTGGCTTGAAATCCATATAATCTTGGCCCCATAAATTTTCCATCCTTCCCATTGCATACACATGGTATGTTACCCTTGCATTTTTAGCCACAAATGTGCCATCTGGTAATGAATCATTTTCACAAGCAAATTTTGAATCAAATTGCACTGGTGGATATAGCCTCATGCTCTCATGAATCACTGCATTTAAATAATGCATTTGATTTATTTGCTCAAACATCAAGAAATCTTGATCTTGTCGCATAACTCGACTCAATTCTTCCCGGATTCGTAATTCAACATCAGGGTGACTCGTTAACAGCCAGAATATGCTTGTTAGAGCAGACGCCACTGTGTCACGCCCCGCCAAAATAAAACTTATCACAATGTCTCTTAAATATTTTTCATTGTCAATAATACCCATGAATCTTGATAAAAGATCTTGATGATTAGAATAGCCCAATTTTCTTTTTTGCCTTATGACTTCCCTTGCAAGAACATCAATATTTTCAATGGCTTTTCTTAATTTTCTCTCTGTTCCAATGTCCAAAAGCCTTTTGATCTTCCAAATCAATGGTGATGCTGCCATTGCCCTCTCTGCTGACAATTTTGTTGCTAAGTCAAAAGATAAAGCAAAATGTGAAAGGGGAAGGGATAATTCAAGACAACCAGGGTCTAAACCAAAAGAAAATTTACATATATTATCAAAAGAAAATCTTCTAAAAACATCTTGTAAATCCAAACTTGTCCCTCTAAAATCTTCTTGAGCTATAGAGGATAAAAGTGGTAAAAGCCGGAATTTGATCTCATTTTTCACATTGTTAAATGCATAAGACCTAATGGACATACTACCAAGTTCAAGACTAGCCATTTTCCTTTGAAATGTCCATAAATCTCCATCTACATTGAAAATTCCATCCCCTAAAAGATCACCAAGAATAATTGAAAATGGCTTGCCTTTAGGGTAATTCAAGAACTTAGTTTTAAGCATGTACTCAACATTTCTTGGATTGGCTGTGATTATATTACCTAAAACATGGATATGAATAGTTTGAGATAGCGAATTTCGGAGAAGATGAGCATACCAATCAACAAGATTAGTGAACTCTTTTCTCCAACTAGATGTTATGTAACAATGGCAAATGTCACAAGTACACCAAAACTTGTGTCTTAAGAAGAAAAGCAAAATAGAGAAAATAGAGAAGGCAATGGCAAAAGAGAAGAGAAAGTAGCCTATAGAAACTTGCAAAAATTGCAATAGAGAGTGTACTTGTGACTCCATTGTTAGAGGAAAGAAAACTTTAATTCCTAGATGGGACATAGAGAGAAGAGAGAAAAAGACTATGAACAAAAAGAAAACATGAAATGGAGGGTGGGCTAAGTGCATTGCATTACATTTCTTATATAATAGTTTTTAGGCTATTGTAGCATGTGAAAGATGAGGCCATGTGGTGCTTGGCAACCAATTAAAGTGAGGAAAAAAAATTCTGAGCTGTATATGATTGCAAATATCTAAGGCGATCACTTTCATATACTTTTTTCCATCTAGTACAAAATTAAAAGTAAAGAATTTATATACTTGTGTTGCATGTTTTCTGTGTTGACATGTTTAAATATTACAAAGGAGGCAGTGGTACACACTTCTGTCCATTTTCTCCTTTTTACCTCCTTTGGATGATAATACCAATTTTTCGTTTCCTACCTAACGTGCAATACTCGCTTTGGGACCGAACTAATTCGAATAGGCATCACATAAGGCTGATTAAAGTGAAGGCGCTCTTTTTCATGATTTTTTTCATTTTAAGACTCGAATCCGAAACTTCCGGATAAAAATAGAAGGATGCTAATTTATCCCTCCACCTCTAACAGCTTTAAGTATAGAATGTATGTGTTCTAAATCAGAAATTAGAGAAGAAAAGAAATGTTAGTTCAATAAAACAATCATAAAATAATTACGAGCCCACAAGATATTTGTGTGTCCTTAAGGAATTTAATCCTCTCATTGTTGTCCAAAGTTTTGGATTAATTCCTCCCAGGATAGAATGGAATAACTATTCTGTGATAGCGGTACTACAAATTACAAAACTTCAGCGAACTCAACAAATGGAGCAAATCACACTTGACACTTATATTTATTTGGATAATAGTGCAACAATGTAGAAAAGAGGAGAAATTTTTTCAGATTTTCCATGTCTGAAAATTGAGGTTATATCCTCTAAATTTATAGATAATGAAATGGTGAGATGAAGAGGTGCAATTCAAAAGGTACCTCTTACATTTCTCATTCACAGCAATTCACGAAACCTAACAAAGAATAAGTTCAATAGATTGTGAATGAATATACAAGTAAATTGAGTGGGGTTATTTGTAACCTAAGTTTAACGTTCACATAATCATCCCCACTTCCGCACGTCGCTCCAAGTAGTTAGTAACAATCGAGATATATACTCGCCAGTTACGGGTGACAAATCTAGCGTAGTGGCATAGGTGAATCCATTACATCACGGGGCGGTTGAGGACCAAGTGAAGTTCTGGATCATGACTTCATTGGTAAGTCTCTGAAACCATCTTTGGGGCGCTTCACCGAGACATGACACTTATTTCTTCGGGCAGGGGTCATCGAATCATAAGTACTTTCTGTAATATCGAATTCTGCCGTTATCCCATTCTGCAGATAAAACTTATCCTAAATAATGGTGTGTCATCATGCAATTTACCTACGTGTCGAAGTCGAAATTTTTACCAATACACAAATGATGTTAGGAACTGTGCATGGATCGGATCGGATCGGATCGAATTTAGTATATTTCAGATTCTACAAAATACAATATGAATCCAATATGAATTGATATCAGATCAGATCAGATTTTAAAGTGTGGATCGGATCAATATTTTGGATTCCCGATCGGATTATACGTATTATTAAGGCTATTGCTAATCTAATCGGCTAATGCATCTGCCTTATCTGCTTCTTCTGTGTTCTATGCTAATACAAACATCTCTTTGCTTTTCATCCCTTTAATCAGCATTGCATCTCTAAGAAAATATTTCTCTGGAGGTTCGAATTATTATGCCTCAAAACTGCAAACTCATACGTATATTTTCTTTGTAAAAGAGGTAATACAGCAAGAAAAATTCATATTTCTGCAATTATGAGGGTACTATGGTGCCAATATAGCTAAATCCAGCAATTGTAAAGGTAATAACTTAGAGAAAGATGTGAAGAAAGTACCAACTATCCGAAATTAAAGTTTAGTATTTATACATACCTTAATAATTTCGGATTTCGGATCAAATCGGGTTAAAATTATACCAATCCGAATATCCGAAATTTTAGTATACATAATTTGAAATCTGATTCAAATATCAGAAATCCGAAATTGAGCAGATCGGTTTGAATTTCGGATATCCGATCCAAATGAACAACCCTATTAAAAAGTGCACGTAATTTACTGTTTCTATTAATAGTAGGACTTTAGTGAACAACCACCCTGTTTTTCTAGTCTTCTTCCTGCTTTAGTAAATAAAAATAATGTCTTCACTAATGGATAAATAGGATTATTTAATTTGCTTTAAATTGTTTAACAAATAAAGGCCCTTAGTGATGATGAAACTCTTTATTTTATTAAATAATTACACCATTCAAGATGTGTAAGGTATTGATTCTTTACTTCAATACACACACACAAATATACATATCTGTATTTTGTGTGAATTGGGTACTGTTTGCTAATCCCTAGGATTATAAAGTTGACTGGGGATTTTAAATTGTAAGAAGTACGCAAGCCATTGCATCACTCTTTCAGTATAGAGAAAAAGAGAGCATTTATTTTCGCTCATTATTCCACAAAAACTCACACTAAGTGGGCGTTTGGACATAAGAATTGTAAAATTCTAAAAAAAAAAAAATTTAGAAAATTAAGTAAAAATTGTAATTGAAAATTAGAGTTGTGTTTGGACATAAATATAATTTTGGATTGTTTTTGAAGTTTTGTGAGTGATCTGAGTGAAAATTTTGAAAAATAAATTTTTGGAGTTTTTCAAATTTCCGAAAAATTCCAAAATTCTTTTTCAAGTGAAAATTAAAAATTTTATGGCCAAACACTAATTTTGAAAAAAATTGAAAAAATTCTTATGCCTAAACGGACTCTAACAAACATTTGTTTTCTCCCTGTGCAAATTATAACATAATTGTTTTAATTGAATATGTGATATGAATAAAACTATAAATATTAAACGGGCATTACTTAAACAAAAAAATTACTTACATGATTAATTACGTGACTGTAATACTATATTTTTCTTGAATTATATCCTGAATAACGAATCCTACTTTCTATATAAAATGGTTTCTATATTATTTACGATAAAAATACAAGAAAGAGAGTTAGATGCAAATAACTATATAATAAGTTATACCAAGATTTTCGTCTAAAAATTATAATAACTTTTGCTAATACCTTTATTCAAATACGGAAAAAATTTAATCTCAAAATTTATATCGATGTAACTAACTTGATCGTTTGAACCAAACGATCCGTAAGGACTTGCTTCCATTGGTTACTGTAGCCTGTAGTTATTATAAAGGTTGTAATCTATCTATATTATATTAAAAGCACGAAGACCCTTAGCGAAATGTTGTTCGCCTTTTTTACCCTTTAAAAATAGAGTTTATATTGGACAAAATTGTAATTTAAGTTACTTTCCTACTATTTAGAATTTTAAATTTAATTCTCATTAATATACTTGGCCTAAAATTTAGGACCTTCCTTAAATTGAATTCTCTTTAAAACCTTTAAATATTAGATGGNCCTTAAATTGAAATTTCTCTTCGTTAGGCAATATAATAAAACCTTTAAATATTAGATGTCAAACCCAAAATAACTAATGATTCGTTATTAGATGCGTATTTTCTTTTATTATTTATGTTAAGAAATCTAGGAATGTTTTCTTTTTTACCTTTTTTATTTTAAGAAATTTTAGAATACTTTATTTTATTAAGAAAACAATTGACTAAACATTGAATTAAAAGTAAATTACATTCCTCTAATTCCATGCCATCGAAGTTACACTTTATGTAAAACCAAGTGACTAAAGTGTTTACAATTGACTAAACAGTTACGAACTCTCAAAACATAAAGATTCAAAACATATGAAAATCAAATTCTTATTGGAAAAAAATATAATTATTGTCAAATATTTAAAAATTAGAATAAGCTAATGTTTAGAATTTAAATTAATAAAAACTAACTTATTTCTTTTAACGTTGAGAACAAATAATTAATTTATTGAATTAACTAATTAGCAAATCCAATTCAATTATTTTACAAATTTATCATATAAGAAAAGTTATTTGATAAATTGACAAAACACTTAATTTATTTTTAGGCGAAATGGTTTCCTGGCCACTTAAACTTGTCGGATTTTTTAAAGCCGATACATAAACTTTCTATTTTTCCATTTGAACACTCGAACTCATTTTTTTCATAACTAATAAACGCATCTGACAAGAGACCATGTGCGCGTGTATTACACATACACATACGTGTCCATCCAGTCAGCAAATGACCAATGGATGTCTTACACGTCAAGGAAGCGAAAACCCTAACCCTGGTCCCTAATGCTGCTACGATTATACACACCAACAGCCGAGAATTTGAGATGGAGCTAGAGATCCTCTGCAGTATTTGCCACATCAGTATAGTTAATTTGTTAGGTTATTGTGCAGAAATGGGGGAGCAGATTCTTGTTTACGAACTCATGCCTCACAGAACGCTTTACGACCATCTCCACGGCGGTCTTTCTTGTCTGAGATGGAACCTTAGGCTGAAGATTGCGATGCAGGCTGCAAAGGGGCTCGAGTACCTTCACAAGGAAGTTTCTCCTCCTATTGTGCACCGTGATGTGAAGAGTTCGAACATTCTGTTGGACGCTGATTGGGGAGCTCGTATTGTAGATTTTGGATTGCTTACACCTAATAAGAAGGATCTTAACGGAGATGTGACAACTGATGTCTATAACTTTGGGATCGTGTTGCTAGAGATTCTTAGTGGAAGAAAAGCTTATGACCGGGATTGCACACCTTCAAGTATTATTATCTGTTAATCTTGTTCTGATCGAGCTTCGTTTGGTCCAAGTGATGCAAAACTTAGCTTCAACTCTACAATGATAAAATATACAACTTTCCACCTTTTTTACGGTCTGAAAAAATGAAAAAAAAATTGAAAATGGAGCTTCAGATTTTTAAAAATGGAGAGGGGGTATTTTAGAAGGAACAAATAAGAACACAACCCATTTTGTACTGTTGGGCGTTGGGAAGGGGGGTTTTCACGCTCCTGTGGGTCGTGTTCCTCACGT